GACCTTTCACTCCCCTGAAACTTGCTCTAAGCACTGAACGCTCTGTGACGGGGGCCGTACCCCCCCAGAACGTTCGTGCCCTGCTCTCAGACATGACACCGTGCCACAGGCTCAGCACAGAGCGCGGCGCGCGGGCAGCCACGGAGGGCGCGGTGCCGCACGCGGATGCGCGTTCTGCTGCTGCTGACAGCGGCCGAGGAATCTGCCTCCCCCCAGCTTAAATCCTCACAACGGGAAGATCCTTCTGTCAGGAGTCCCTGCCCGGTGGCACTGAAGGAGCGAGGGGTGTAGCATCAATGCCAGCACGGTGCCGCTGCTGCGCGCTCCTCCTGCGCCGCCTTTCCCCAGCGCTCTGCCCGCCGGCTCCTCTCTAACCCTTGAGAAAGACACCGCAGTGCTCCAGCTACCTGTTTGGTTTCCCTGTTCCAGTGGGTCCAAAACTTTCCCTCTGCTTTGTCGATTTCCCTGCTTGGCACCTGCAACAGAAGAGCATAAGGAGCTATTATTAGCACCAGCGGATTAGCTCAATGGCCCTTTTTAGCACCAGAGCCTGCAAGAGAAGCACAGCTATTCCAGGCCTCTGTGGGATGCGCTGTCTCGGATGTTATTAGATAGAGATGGGGGCAGGAAAGAATGAAGTTACTTCCCTACTGGTCAAGGACAAGTGTGCTGGCAAAAAACCCTCTCAACATCTGCAGAAAGGCTGAGGAGCAAAGCCCAGAGGCTCCTTTCTGTGCCAGACGTGGAGAATTCAGTGGCTCCCCAGAGCTCAGCACGCAGCCTAGTTTTCATGCCAGAGTCCTCCACTAATTCCCAGCAGGGCTTAATGACTTCCAGCCATGTCTTCTTGACCCCCCCTTTCCAGTCCATTAACCCCCTGAAGGCTGGAACTGAAGTGTGTAATAATGCTCACTGGGAATGAATGTCTTGGAAAACATGGGAAGGGAACTCTCCCAACAACCAGTTAACCCCCAGTTTCACCTTGAACGCTATGGTTTCATAGGGCTCCGCTGCCATCAACAGGTATTGCCAGCGTCTGTCGGGGGGCTCGATCCTCTGCTCGTAGGCCGACATGAACCGATGCCGAGGCATGATACTTTCTGCAATCTCCGGATAATCGATCTGTTGGGGCGTGACCGCAGCGTTAAGGAGAACATCCCCTTTTCACTCCCCCTCTGTACAAAACAAATCCCTCCACTACGAAGCGTATCGAGACGTCAGCTCCAAGCAGAAACTTAGTGTCGCCGCAGGAAACAGCTCCACAGCTACGACCGTGGATTTGCTTGGACACAGTCGGCAGCAGAGGACGAGCGTGGTAAGGCCTTTCTTAATTATTACTTATTTCATGAATCCCAGCAGCACTTGCAGTTGGATAACCCAGACACCAAGAATTTTAACAGTGCCCTTACCTGGAAAAGAAGGCTCTGCTGGCCTGTTTCTGGGTCCCTCTGTTTGGTCACTGTAAAGAAAATACAAAAGTTCAGACCATCACATATCAGGCCTAGAGCAACAATATTTCTGCCCTGAGAAAGACACAAAGCTTCCAACAACAAAGCACTACAGGATTTTCTCCTGTTCATCAACCAAACACCACACTGTTTTAAGCGAAGCTCTACCGAGATCCAGCTGCCGTGGGGCAGACGCTGGGTGCTGCACCCGGCTGGGAGATAAAGACGCCAAGTCACGTGCTGGAGGCCAAAACAACACAGTGAGGAGTTCAGAGAAAAAACTTGAGCTACAGAGGCAGGGAGTGATTTATGGGCATCAGTGAAAGATGGCACAGCCCACTAAAAGGAGGATAGAGACTGAAACAATGCCATCACCTCCGGCATGACTGCAAAGAGCTGAAAGACTGAGACACGCCGATCTGTTATTAAAGTGGTTCTCACTCCACTGTCAGCACTAAAGAGGTGCCACGGGTAATTTAAACAATAAAGGACATCAGGAGATAAGCCCATATCTTATTCATGGAAGGATCTGCTCAAAAGACTCATCAATAATTCACCCCACAGCGCTGCTCGACAGGTGAGCTCTGGCAGGCGTTGGGCATCGACAGATCCCCCTGACGTACCTTTATAACCTGGACGCCCAATTTTCACAAATTTCTTCACTTCCACTTTGACTTTCTCCGGAGCGGGCTGGGCAGGGGCTTCCTTAGCTTCCTTGGCAGCTCGACGGGCCCTGGGTTAATTTGAAATGGGCCAAGTTTCACAGGTTAGCCACACTTGTTTCTAAAGGATGCACTAGGAGCAGTTTGAATCCCTTGCCATGGAATATTCAGCACTTCACAGACAACACACCAGGAAAACCTGCTATTTCTCCTCCACCTGCACCACTGCAGGCCAGTTGCATCTGTGCCTCCCCCTGACGTAAGCTGCCATCTCAATTCTCTCATCTGCTCCCAAGCTGACCTTGGTGCCCGTTTCCACAGAGGGATTTGAACAACTTCCCTCTTGAACGAACAAAGGAAAAACCCCACAAGCCATTCACCTAAACCAAAGCAAAGGGGATTCTGTAAAATAAAAAACAACTCCCAGCCCACATTCACAAAACCAGGTCCTCGTGACTAGACTCAACAGTTTGGCTTCTAAAGCTCTTCCTCCCCCCCTTCCTTCAGAAATCCCACAGCTGGCTTTGAACTTGAGCTCCAAATGGAGCTTGTCAGCACCACTTTTTGGAGCACATCTGGTCTGGGCCTGCTGGCTAGTGCCAGGCTGTTCACCAGGAAACAAACACAGCGGAAGACCGCTCAAGCGCAGCATGCTGCTGTAGGATAGAGTTCAGGGTTTACAGACACACACAGCCGTCATTTCAGAGTGCTGAGGTAACAGAGAACGACTCACAGATTGGTCTGATGCTTCTTCCCCTGGGTATGTGCTAAGTAACTTCCCTGAAATAAAAAACAAGGCAGAAGAAAGTTAAATGAAGACAGGACTGTTCCTTCACTGAAAGAGTGCTGCGTCCAGCTGTGGAGCCTCAGCATCAGAAGGATATAGACTGGTTGGAGCGAGTCCAGAGGAGGCCACGGAGATGCTCTGAGGGCTGGAGCCCCTCTGCCATGGGGACAGGCTGGGAGAGTTTGGGGTGTTCAGCCTGGAGAAGAGACAGCCCCGGGGAGACCTTATAGCACCTTCCAGTGCCTGAAGGGGGCTACAAGGAAGCTGGGGGGAACTTTTTCCAAGGGCCTGGAGTGACAGGACAAGGGGTAACAGGTTTAAATTGAAAGTGGGGAGGTTTAGATTGGATATCAGGAAGAAGTTCTTCCTGCAGAGGGTGGGGAGGCACTGGGACAGATTGCCCAGAGAAGCTGTGGATGCCCCATCCCTGGAAGTGTCCAAGGCCAGGCTGGATGAGGCTTGGAGCAACCTGGTCTAGTGGAAGGTGTCCCTGCCCATAGCAGGGGGTTGGAACTGGAAGATCTTTAAGGTCCCTTCCAACCCAAACCGTTCTGTGATTCTATGATTGACTGAAAGAGACTTGTCACAGAGGACAGACTGTATCACACGTTAACAAGGATATTTTAATCCTTAGCAGAAAGGAATCCTACTCAAAAATCGCAGAGTGCTCCCAACTGCTGAACTGTCATAAACTGTCAGGCTTAACACACACCCACCCGTCACCTCTTCAGGCCTCAGCCACCAGGCACGTCCCAGGTTCCTGCACCTGGACCTACTATTACCCCACAGCACCCGCTGCCGAGATGAAGACAGACAGCTGATCGACCCACCTCATTGTTGTGCAGCGTCAGGCAAAGCTTGCATTCGTAAGAGCCCAAGTGATTTTTCATAAAATAAGGGTCCTGGGAAGAGAATGATTAAAAAGTTACCAGCTAAATACATGGCAAAACAACGGGATAATCAAAATAGTTAGTGATGAACTGCTGCTGCACTGGAAGAATTGAGTTCAGAGATTTAAACTAACATCACAGCACTGCCTCAGGGCCTTGAAAACAGAGAGAAACAACAGCAGCTTTGTTAATTGGTGACAGCGTACCCAACTGCAGGCCAGAAACAGCAAAACACAAACCAGCCCCCAGGAGGCTGAAAATAACATAGTAACAGCTACTTGGATACACAAGTGCTGGCACCTCTCTGGTCAGCCCTGCTACAAATGTTTCTCGTCTGACTCCCACATTCCCAGAAACAGAAATATTTCATTTCAATTCACAACTCTCCACTAAATCTCTCACTGTTTCGCTCAGGCACAGCCCTAAACTTATCCCCGTGCCAGCCTGCAGGGCGGGAGGCATGTGTCTTTCCCTTCCTGCGCAGGCAGAGGCCAAGGCTCACCTTGTTGATGTCGATGGTTTCCAAAGCCAGCTGCCGGAGCCTCTCCCTGCGGTCTCGGTTACTTTCTGAGGCAGAGGCGACGCCTCCACTTCCAGTTTTACCTCCAGGACGATGTTGAAAATCCATGATGTGGATTTCTGTGCTTCAGCTACTTACAGAAAAAGACAGAGTCTGGAAAAACGAGGAAAAGCAACGTGAGTGGTAACTAACGCTTCTCCGAACCTGGAGTCCACGCCACTGTTCAGCCCCATCGGGAAGGACTGGACACAAGCACAAGGAACCATGCCCCGGGCACTCGCCACGCGATGCCATTTCCAGGGAGCAAGTCTTGTTCCACCGACTCAGTACCCTCCCGTCTCCTCAGCCCCTTCATCTGCACAGAGACGTATTCCACATGCTCAGCTGGGGCCCAGCATGGTGCAGCAGCCCCACCGGGGCTCCCCCCAGCCCCCCGAAGAGGA